AACCCTAAACCAGGAGGAAACCAAAACTATGAATAGACCAATAACAAGGTCTGAAGTCCAGTCAGTAACTAAAAGCCTACCACACAAATAAAGCCCAGGTCCAGATGGGTTCACAGCCGAATTCTACAAGACACACAAAGAGGAGCTGGTACTATTCCTTCTGAAACTATTCCAAATAATCCAAAAAGAGGGAATCCTTCGTAATTCATTTTATGAGACCAACATTATCCTGATACCAAAACCCAGCAGAGACTCAACAAGAAAAGAAAACTTCAGGCCAATATCCATAATGAACATAGATGCAAAAATCTTCAATAAAATACTGGCAAGCCAATTGTACCAGCATATCAAAAAGCTTATCCATCATGATCAAGTAGGATTGATCCCGGGGATGCAAGGCTGGTTCAACATACGCAAGTCTATAAATGTAATTCACCACATAAACAGAACCAAAAATAAAAACCACATGATTATCTCAATTGACGCAGAGAAGGCTTTGACAAAATTCAACAGCCCTTTATGCTAAAAACCCTCAATAAATTCGGTATTGATGGAACGTATCTCAAAATCATAAACACTATTGATGACAAACCAACAGCCAATATCATACTGAATGGGCAAAAACTGGAAGCATTCCCTATGAAATCCGGCACTAGACAAGGATGTCCTCTCTCACCACTCCTATTCAATATAGTACTGGAAGTTCTAGCCAGAGCAATCAGGCAAGAAAAAGAAATAAAGGGTATTCAAATAGGAAAGGAGGAAACCAAATTGTCTCTATTTGCAGATGACATTATTATATATCTAGAAGACCACATCATTTCAGCCCAAAAACTCCTGAAACTGATAAGCAACTTCAGCAAAGTCTCAGGATATTAAATCAATGTGCAAAAATCACAAGCATTCCTCTACACCAATAACAGACTTAAAGAGAGCCAAATCAAGAACGAACTGCCATTCACAATTGCTACAAACAGAATAAAATACCTAGGAATACAACTTACAAGGAACGCAAGGGACCTCTTCAAGAAAACTACAAACCACTGCTCAACGAAATAAGAGAGGACACAAACAGATGGAGAAACATTCCATGTTCATGGTTAGGAACAATCAATATCGTGAAAATGGCCAGACTACCCAAAGTAATTTACAGAATAAATGCTATCCCCATCAAGCTACCATTGACTTTCTTCACAAAACTGGAAAAAAAACACCTTGAACTTCATATGGAACCAAAATACAGCCTGCATAGCCAAGTCAATTCTAAGCAAAAAGAACACAGCGACACGCATCACACTACCGGACTTCAAACTATACTACAAGGCTACAGTAATCAAAACAGCATGGTACTGGTACCAAAACAGAGATATAGACCATTGGAACAGAACAGAGGCATCAGAAGCAATACAGCATTATCTACAACCATACAATCTTTGATAAACCTGACAAAAACAAGCAATGGGGAAAGGACTCCATTTAATAAATGGTGTTGGGAAAACTGGCTAGCCATGTGCAGAAAGCAGAATCTAGAACCATTCCTGACACCTTACACTAAAATTAACTCCAAATGGATTAAAGACTTAAATATAAGACCTGGCACGATAAAAACCCTAGAAGGAAATCTAGGCAAAACCATTCAGGACATAGGAGTAGGGAAGGAGACTTGATGAACAAAACACCAAAAGCATTGGCAACAAAAGCAAAAATAGACAAATGGGACCTAATCAAACTCCACGGCTTCTGCACAGGAAAGGAAGCAGTCACTAGAGTGAATCAGCAACCAACAGAATGGGAAAAAATTTTTGCAGTTTACCCATCTGACAAAGGGCTGATATCTAGAATTTACAAAGAACTCAAACAGATTTATAAGAAAAAAACAAACGAGTCCATTCAAAAAATGAGCAAAGGATATGAACAGACACTTTAGAAAAGAAGACATACATGAGGCCAACAAACATATAAAAAAATGCTCATCATCACTGGTGATTAGAGAAATGCAAATCAAAACCACATTGAGATACCATCTCACGCCAGTTAGAATGGCGATCATTAAAAAATCTGGAGACAACAGATGCTGGAGAGGATGTGGAGAAATAGGAACACTTTTACACTGATGGGAGTATAAATTAGTTCAACCATTGTGGAAGTCTGTGTGGCGATTCATCAAGGACTTAGGAACAGAAATTCCATTTGACCCAGCAATCCCATTACTGGGTATATATCCAAAGTACTATAAATTGTTCTACTATAAGGACACATGCACACGAATGTTCATTGCAGCACTGTTTACAATAGCAAAGACCTGGAACAACCCAAATGCCCATCGATGATAGACTGGACTGGAAAAATGTGGCACGTATACACCATGGAATATTGTGCAGCAATCAAAAATGATTAGTTCATGTCCTTTGTAGGGACATGGATGAATCTGGAGAACATCATTCTCAGCAAACTGACACAAGAACAGAAAATGAAATACTGCATATTCTCACTCATAGGCAGGTGATGAACAGTGAGAACACATGGACACAGGGAAGGGAGTACTACACGCTGGGGTCTATTGGGGGAATAGGGGAGGGACAGCTGACGGGGGAGCTGGGGGGGATAGCATGGGGAGAAATGCCAAATGTGGATGAACGGGAGGAAAGCAGCAAAACACACTGCCATGTGTGTACCTATGCAACTATCTTGCATGTTCTGCACATGTACCCCAAAACCTAAAATGCAATAAAAAGAAAAAAAAAAAGACTACATCTCCAAAACACAAAAACAAAAAAAGAGAGAATCTGTGCAAATATACACCTACAATGAAATGACTACACACCTTTTTGCTGCCGGGGTTTTTGAGACTCAGTAAAGGCAGAAAATTAAGTTCTCTGAAATGAAATAGGTAGTCTATATTGAAGCACTACAATATAAACTGGCTAACTTAAAGAAGCTCACCAACTATGCAATTAGTCCATTACATCCATACTCTGATACAAAGTTATTTTGAATGTGGTTTAAAAAACAAATGTCATCATACTTTTGCTATGCAAAGCATTAACAACATATTATACATATTTATCATATTTACAATGAACATTTTTTTTTTGAGATGGAGTTTCGCTCTTGTTACCCAGGCTGGCGTGCAATGGTGCGATCTCGGCTCACCACAACCTCCACCTCCTGGGTTCAGGCAATTCTCCTGCCTCAGCCTCCTGAGTAGCTGGGATTACAGGCACGCGCCACCATGCCCAGCTAATTTTTTGTATTTTTAGTAGAGACGGGGTTTCACCATGTTTACCAGGATGGTCTCGATCTCTTGACCTCGTGATCCACCCACCTTGGCCTCCCAAAGTGCTGGGATTACAGGCTTGAACCACTGCACCCGGCCTACAATGTGCATTTTTAATGTATAATTATAGTATATAATAAAATGTGTATAAGAAATATACTGAGTTCTGTGACACCTCATATTAGTATTATACTTGATGCCGTACTTCCTATCACGAAACCAAAAAAGTGATCCCTGTTTGATAAAAGGAAGCTTATGAGGTCATCTATACAGAAACTGTCTAGCATTCACTTCTAAGAGGAAGATAGTTAATTTACACTATAACTTCATAGAAACCAAATGGAGTTTTCTTACATCAACTTCCTATGACACACCATGGTATAAGCGAAAATAATGTCTGAAATTTTTCCAGATATAATGAGAAACACTAATCCTTAGTTTCTGGTACTCAACAAATCCTGACCAGGTTAAATAAATACATACCTAGATACATCATAAAGAAATGCACCACAGACAATAAGAAGCTCTTAAAGCAGCCAGAAAAGATAATATATCACCAGATTACCAACAAAGGAAGGACAGTTATTTGGGAGGCCACGGCGGGAGGATCACTTGGGGTCCAGGGTTCAGGATCAGCCTGGCCAACATGGTGAAACCCCAACTCTACTAAAAATACAAAAATTAGCCAGGGGTGGTGGCAGGAGCCTGTAATCTCAGCTACTCGGGAGGCTGAGGCAGGAGAATTGCTGGAACCTGGGAGGTGGAAACATAGTGAGCCAAGACTGCGCCACTGCACTCCACCCGGGCAACAGTGAGACTCCATCTGGAAAAAAAAAAAATGTTTCTGTATTCAGAGTTGTCTAATTAGACTAGAATAATGTGACTACCCTGCAAATGAGGGTAGAAAACAAAGGCCCTGTAGCCAGTAACACTAACTTGCCACTTAGCCAAAACTAAGTTCTGAAACAGCCAAAGGCTGCTATTTTATTGTCAGTTTTCCAGGACATTTTTCAAAAGAATAAATTCCGAATAACTAAAATCATTTTAAACAATTGACAGAACAGACTTTGAAATCCAATTCTAAAGCAAGGTAAACAGGGTTTCACACTTGGGACTTTACCTAAATTAGATCCAATACAGATATGCACCTCCAAAAAAAAAATGGCGACCAGTAGGGAATCCTGAATTCATCCGGGTTACTCTATATTAGCAGTTACGTGGAATTAACGCCCAACTCAGACTTCAGCTGAATTCCAAACCGTTCTTTCCTAAACTTCACCACCACAGAGAAAACATAGTCCTGCTCCATTGGCAGAATGCAACGACGCTGAATGCTTCCAGGCTGTTGTCATGTTAAATTCTCAATTCACAGGATTAACAGAAACTTGTCTACACAAGTGCTAGTGATTACCTTCCAAACCCCGAGAGAAGAAAAAGATGAGACTAGGGCAAGAGCCATTACTGGTGAAAAGTCTCCCTCCTCCGTCCAGCCCACCCGAAGAGAAACCATAGTCTTAGAACAGGACCTGCGCTGCACGGTATCCATACTTGACCCCAGACCAGTGGCCGGGACCGTGTCACCCCGCCCACCCTGAGCCGCTAGCACCCAGCTCCGCTTCTTTCCAGAAATCGCTACCTGGGACCGAGGCCACCGGCCAGCCTGACTCGCTGCCTTGCCCCGCCTTCCCCGCAACGCTGGGCAACTAAAGAGATCTCCACTCACCATAGCAAGTCTCTCTGCTCAGCCATCTTGGCTCTGCCCACCGCTCCACGGCTGGAAGTCGGTGGTTTCCCAAACTAAGAGGCGAGCGGAAGTTGTAGGACTATGGAGGCCGGTGAAGAACCTGGGAAGGAATTGGCGGAGTGACTTAGGGAGTCGGGAGACAGTTAGGGTTTGCTCCACGGAGGCTCACTTCTGTTAGAGTCGGGAAGGGAATGAGCAGCCACTGGCTGCTTTTATGTCGAGAAGCCCCTACCACCCCTCGCTGTGGTCTGTACTTTGGCTGTACCTCCGGCTGCGCTGGCCAGATAGGTCAGCCCACCTGGGATGGCAGCATAGTCCTCACCACCTTGCCATGCCCTGACTCTAACCTGAATTTAATCCAGTCCTTCAGAAACCCTCAGGCAGAGAATCTCATTCTCGCCTTAGGTGCAAACCTTCCCATTCTTGGCTATCTCTGTCGCACTGAGGTACTCTCCTTATCAGCTTCCCACTGCCAGAGTTTGCAAACACGGTCCCGGTGGGCTGCATCTGAGCTAAAGTCTTTTGATTGGAAATACTTAAAAGACTTTCACAAGGGCCGGACGTGGTGGCTCACACCTGTAATCTCAGCATTTTGGGAGACTGAGGCGGGCAGATCACGAGGTCAGGAGATCGAGACTATCCTGGCCAACATGGTGAAACCCCATCTCTACTAAAATACAAAATATTAGCTGAGAGTGGTGGCGGACAGCTGTAGTCCCAGCTACTTGGGAGGCTGAGGCAGGGGAATCGCTTGAACCCAAGAGTCGGAGGTTGCAGTGAGCCAACATCACGCTACTGCACTCCAACCCTGGTGACAGAGCAAGACCGCGTCTCAAAAAAATAAATAAATAAATAAATAAATAAGAAATCAGCCTTGGGATAAAGAGACGACAATGGGCCTGCGTTTTTGCATGGCCGTGAAATAGATGTGAATAGCCGCTGGGACTGTAAATAAACATTCCTTCGCCTTTTTACCACAGTCTTCCCAACACACTTCAGGCGTTTTCCATTACCTGTTTGGCCCCCGGTACAGTGAATTAAATGTTTAGGTTTCTAAACTAGGAAAACATGTGGGCTTTGGAATAAAATATGAGTTCTGGATTTGACTACTGCATGAGCTAAGCCGGTGGTTATTTAAGCCTTATTTATTCAAGTGCTGGGGAGCTGTGTGATGAACAAAACCAGGAACCCTGCACCTGAGCATGACTTTACTCCCAGTTAGTTCTTTTTTTTGTTGTTTTGTTTTGTTTTTTTGAGACGGAGTCTCGCTCTATCACCAAGGCTGGAGTGCACTGGTGCGATCTCAGCTCACCGCAACCTCCACCTCCCAGGTTCAAGCAATTCTCCTGCCTCAGCCTCCCGAGTAGCTGGGGCTACAGCTGCCCGCCACCACACCCGGCTTATTTTTGTATTTTTAGTAGAGACAGGGTTTCACCATATTGTTCAGGCTGGTCTTGGACTCCTGACCTTGTGATCTGCCCACCTTAGCCTCCCAAAGTGCTGAGATTACAGGTGTGAGCCACTGTGCCCGGACCCAATTCATACTTTTAAGTCTCGCCCTTGCAATTTAGACATAACATCTGCCTCTCCTAATTCACGAATTGGGAAAGCATTTAATACAAGTTTCTTCAGGCCTCTAAGGGAACAAGAACCCCACTGACAATTATAGTGACATAGAAGAAACAAGTACAGTAATCTATCCAAATACAAGGGGAAAGGACAGCAATAAAGTAACAGCTCTTCTAAGTATTTACAGTAACACTCTCTCTTTTAAGCTTTATAACAATCCCATGAGACTGTTAGTCTCCCAGTTTTTTCAGATACTCTGCCTTTTATTTATTTAAATTTTTTTTTCTGGGCGAAATCGCTCATGCTTCTAATCCCAGGACTTTAGGAGGCTGAGGTAGGCAGGTCACCTGAGGTCAAGAGTTTAAGACCAGCCTGGCCAACATGGTAAAACCCTCTCTACTAAAATACAACAAATTAGCCAGGCATGGTGGTGGGCCCCTGTAATTCCAGCTACTTGGGAGGCTAAGGCAGGAGAATCGCTTGAACCTGGGAGGTAGAGGTTGCAGTGAGCCAAGATGGTGCCATTGTACTTCAGTCTGGTAAACAAGAGCGAAACTCTATCTCAAAAAAAAAAAAAAAATTCAGAGATAGTGGTCTCACTATGATGTCCAGACTGGTCTTGAACTCCTAGGCTCAAACAATCCTGAAAACGGGTCTGGAACCAGGGAACATAAGGCTGACACACACTGCAGTTATAACAGAAAATATTCTCTCCATAGAGCATAGGCTGTAAATGACTTGTAACTTTACTTCATCCTCTCCATTTATATAAGGCATCCCCAAATAACTAATGGAATCCTCTAGGGGTATTTAAACTCCCAAAAGTTCTGTAACAGGGCCCTTGAACTCCTCAGCTCAGGCCCCTCTCACACTGTGGAGGGTACTTTCATGTTCCATAAATCCCTTCTTCCCTCCTTGCCTTTGTAAATTTTGTCCAATTCTTTTGTTCAACACACCAAGAATGTGGACACCCTCTACCTTAAACACTCCCACCTCATCCTCTCAAATACCTAGAATCACAGGCATCAGTCACCATGCCTGGTGCTAAATTCTCCACCTTTCAGAGATTCATTAAACACCTTGCCCAAGTGAGCCGAGATTGTGCCACTGCACTCTAGCCCGGGCGACAGAGCAAGACTCCGTCTCAAAACAGAAACAAAAGATTTTAAATCATTTATTTTTTATTTTATTTTTGAGACAGAGTTTTGCTCTTATTGCCCAGGCTGAAGTGCAATGGCATGATCTCGGCTCACTTCAACCTCGGCCTCCCAGGTTCAAGCAATTCTCCTGCCTCAGTCTCCCGAGTAGCTAGGATTATAGGCATACACCACCACACCCAGCTAATTTTTATTTTTAGTAGAGACAAGGTTTTCTCATGTTTGTCAGGCTGGTCTCAAACTCCTGACCTCAGGTAATCCACCCGCCTCAGCCTCTAAAAGTGATGGGATTACAGGCATGCACCACTTCGCCCAGCCGAAAAATTATTCATTTCTAATCCACAGTGCTTAGGGGTTTTTTATTTTTGAGACAGTGTCTCACTCTGTTGCACAGGCTGGAATGCAGTGGCACATCACAGCTCACTGCAACCTCCACGTCCCAGGCTCAAGTGATCCTTCTAATTTTTTTTTTTTTTTTGAGAACGAGTCTTACTCTGTCACTCACGCTAAAGTGCAGTGGTGTGATCTCAACTCACTGCAGCCTCCGCCTCCAGGGTTCAAGCGATTCTATTTACCTCAGCTTCCCAGAGTGCACTCCTAGAGTGCACTTTTAAAGTGCTGGAATCTTTAAAAGTGATTTGGGAGCCCGGCCCTAATTTATTATTTTGTTTAACCCCTTTTCCTCTAGCTGCTGAGGTCAAACCTGAATGAGCTATAGACTCCCCCTGCTGGGTAAGAATGGGAAGAAGAACAGAAAGCCAAAACTTTGGTTGATGGTCTATGTCAAATAGCAGGCAAAAGCAGGGAATCTATGAGGAATATGAAGACATTTGTCGTGGAGAACCCTGTTGGCACTTTCCACTGTTCCATGTAAGTAGGAAAGGTCTGGGCCAGCAGTTGGTTACCAAGATGCTCCTGGTGAGCTCTGGCAACAGCTCCTTCCACCTCTCACTGCTTAACAGAGACCCTTCCTGGTGTTAAAGAGCATCACTCTCATTTAAATGATGGCTTCTCTCCTGCAGAAAGGTGTTTTTGATGGTTCTTACCATCATACTATGCTCTGAAATTTCTGAAGGTCTTTGGTACCAAGACTGGAGTGCAATGGCATGATCTCAGCTCACTTGCAACCTCCACCTCTGGGTTCAAGTAATTCTCCTGCCTCAGCCTCCCAAGTAGG